AAGTGATTTTCTTTTCTTTTCTGTGAATTTTACAGCTGAACATGAAACATACATATGTGCACACACACTTGCATATACAAAGGGTATAAATGCAGAACAGTATTTATGCTCAAATTTGGTAGAATTTCCTCTTTACTGGAAGTCTCAGGTTCTATGGGGATAACTTGACTGTTGAAGATGGGCTAGGTGGACAAAAGAGCTTTCCAAATGGGTTTGTCTTAAATTACATATGCTTTCCCTTTTCTAGGACTGAGTGGAGTGGCTGGAGTGAGTGCCCACTGTGAAAAAGCCTGTAACCCTCGAATGGGAAATTTGGCTTTAGGGAGAAAACTCTGGGCAGACACTACCTGTGGTCAGAATGCCACTGAACTGTACTGCTTCTACAGTGAGAACACTGATCTGACTTGTCAGCAGCCCAAATGTGACAAATGCAACGCTGCCCAGCCTCACCTGGCTCATCTGCCAGCTGCCATGGCAGACTCATCCTTCAGGTTTCCTCGCACGTGGTGGCAGTCTGCTGAGGATGTGCACAGGGAAAAGATCCAGTTAGACCTGGAAACTGAATTCTACTTCACTCATCTAATTATGGTCTTCAAGTCCCCCAGGCCGGCAGCCATGGTGCTAGACCGGTCCCAGGATTTTGGGAAGACATGGAAGCCTTACAAGTACTTTGCAACTAATTGCTCAGCTACATTTGGCCTGGAAGATGATGTTGTCAAGAAGGGAGCTATGTGCACTTCCAGATACTCCAGTCCTTTACCATGCACTGGAGGAGAGGTAAGGGCACACGTTTTAACTCTATGCTGTAAATAAGGTAGAAAAATGTTACCAGCCCACATTTTTTTAAAAGCATGACAGTATACTTGTAGCAACATGAATGAAATTAGAATTTTTCATGAGCTTTATTTGTCATAAATTATTTTCACTCTTAGACGTGGATGTGCAGTCATTTTCAAGTAGGTTGCCCACTGGCTGAGTTTAAGTTGGAATTCTAAGATTTTAAGTTTTTTCATTGTAAGAAAGAATAGATACTTAACATCATCATTTTACTTAGAGGTTTAAAAGGCTGCTGATTTCTACAGTCAGCAGGACTACTCACTGTGCTTCTGAAGGGGCAGGATTTACTGAGACAGCCTGTTCCTGGAGCCCGTGCTGGTATCTTCCTGAAACTGTTAACATAAATAGGAAGTAAATAAAAACAAAGCCAAGGGAGAAAAAAAATGTTTGTCAGAAGGATACTTTTTGTATAACAGAGGAGTTTTATTGTTAAGATTACAATGGTGCATAGCAAACAAATGAAGGTCGTTTCTTTTAAGCCGCTGAAATTCTTTTTGGACTCACAGACACATTAGTTCCAGCTTAGGGTCTTGGGTCTATCCTGGGCCCAACACCACCCCAATCTCATTCTGTAAAACAGCCTCCTCAGCTATTAGTCCAATTTCTGTATGGAATGTTTAATCTTTATTTCGTATTTCCCCTCCCCTAAGGGGGAAACATGTCTTTTTAACTTGTATGGATGTACCTAGAAAGCTCTCCTTACCAAGATATATGAAAACATGGAATTTAGAGAAAATTGGGTGAAAGCAGATTAAGAAAACAAAATACTTTCAACATGAGATCAAGAAATATCAATGCAGGAAAAAAAAGAGAAGAGAGAGTATAATATTTCTAATTCTGGTAGATGACAAGAACATACAGACTAGACAAGTGGTTCTCAGCTAGGGGTGATGCTGTCAACCACCACCCCCAGGGACATTTGGTAATGTCTGGAGACATTTTTTTCGGGGGGGGACATTATTGGCATCTAGTGGGTGAAAGCCACGGATGCCATCATACTTCCTACAGTGTATAAGACAGCACCCCTCCCACTCCCAACAAAGAATTATTAGCTTAAAATGTCAATAGTACCAAAATTGAGAGAGCCTGGACCAGGTGTTAGGCATCCATACAATGCATGTATTACAATGTATTCTAGCAGTCATTTATATTACTATTCACAGACTTCCCAGAGGATTATATTTGGTAAACATTTTTTGAGCCCCTATTTAGTGTCAGGCTCTGTGCTACTAGTTCTGCCTTTGGTTTGAGGGAGAGGGGAACTTGCCAGGGACTTGATGAAAAAACTGGTTTGGGAACTTCTTCTCCCTACTATTATAGACACATATGGACGTTTGCCATATTATCCAGCTTCTTCTGCAGGCACTGGAACCAAATAGGACGTGGCACAAGCAGCACACAGACTACTTTCCATTCTTCTTCTTCTTCTTTGCATTCTTCCCTAAAGTTGGCTTAATATTGTAAATCCCTGTGCACCCTGTCATGATGGACATTTTTAAAGATACCAGGACAGGAAAGAGACAGATAAGTTAGACTCATTGTTTTCTTCTGTGGAGAATACTTTGTGTTGCAAACAAATGAATGGCTTGAACTCTCAAATTGCTTTGGAATTGATCCACGGGCTTGTATCAGTTCCCTACATCTCAGTGCTACTGGGCCATGTGTATCTATGAAGTAGCAACAATACAGTTTCAGTAACCAGATGGCAGACATGCTTGCTTAGCAAATATCACTTTGAATGTATTACAATGGCCAGCAATCAGAGAAGACTGAAGTAACATACATTTAACTGATAGCAGAGCAAAATCTTGTCTTCTTTAAAGCCAAACTACTTATTGTCATCAATGCTTACATCAAATTTGAAGCAGAGACTAAAATTTACGTTAGCTCTTTCAATATAGTCACCTTTTATATCTAGTTAAAAAAAACTTATCATAGTTATTATTTCAGCCAACTTAAATTTCAACAGCAAGAAAAACATCAAGTGCCACCTGGTTCTCTGTAGAGCATTGTTTGCATGTGTGCATTAAACCATCATAGAATTTCTTCCATTCAGAGATAGGTTTAGGAACGAATCTTTCTCTCCTGAGTTAGAGAGCAGAAGAGAGTCTTCTTTGAAGATAAGGACCAGAGAAAACCTTCCTGGAAATGATTACTACCTACCTCTCCTATGTCTCTTGGGAATATAAATTAGTGCTGAGCTACAAATTAATTTTGCTGTACAACTCTATGTCCTTAATCACTATCTCTGGAAATTGAGTGATCAGAAAAATAAGCCAATTAATCTAGCATATAAGTAGTCTCAGATTTCATTTATTCTTTACTTATGATATTACGGACCTGCATCTTTCTCCATTCTATATAAGACTTCTTAGGAGTTCTCTAGTCTCTAGGTATTACCCTATTACTCAGGCTACCATAAATATGTCTGACTTAATTTGTTCCCATTTTCATTTGAAAATATTTCTTTGGACTTTCAGAGCCTTAGAGAGTGCTACTAGCTTCATGGCCAAGTCGTCAGATATGTCCATCTAACATATAAATATTCTCATTATGTGTCTTGTATCTCCCAGTGGGAAGTATATAGGATGTGACATTCCCAGATTTATTTACCCATGCACCCTCTTTTTGCAGAACTCCAATTACTATTTTTCAAACTTTAGAAATCCATGAAGTACAACTTGGGAAATACTGGGGTAAAGGTATTAGGTGTTCCCCAAATCCTGGTAAAGGCACAGACAGGGAGAGATGTTGTTGCAGGGGTACAAAGTTTCAGTTATGCAAGAGGAATAAGTTCTGGAGATCTAATGTACAACACATACGACTATAGTTTACAATACTTTATTGTATACTTGAAATTTGCTAAAAGGGTGGATCTTAAGTGTTCTCACCATACATGCAAAAAAGTGGTTACTATCTGAGGTGACGGGTATGTTAATTAGCTTAACTATGGTGATTATTTCACAATATATTTGTGTATCAAATCATCAAATTGCACATCTTAAATACATACAATTCTTAATTTTCAATATACCTCAATTTAAAAAAGGCACAGACAGGCCTGGTACTTGGCGTGGAAGTGGGAAAGGGGGAGATAGGAAACAAATAACTAGGTAAAGTATACAGTATGCCAGAGTGTGGTAAGTACTAAGGAGAAAATAAAACGGAGTGGGGTGGAGAATGCTGGCAGGAAAGGGCTTGCTGTTTTTAAAACAGATGGAAGGATTTGTGTTTGATGAACAGACAGTGACAAGAACTCTGAGTTCCTGGCAAGTTTTCACGAATGAACAGAACCTATAATTAAGGATCCTATGTCTTTCAATTTGTATATATGGAAAAATGAAATTGTATTAAAATGACAAACACTGGTTAAAAAAAAAATCCTTCTTGCTAGTGTTTCTTAGAATGAGGGCATTTGAAAAGGAACCTGAATGTCATCAATGGAAAAGCACATGACTGATGAGTAATCTGAAGCCTGAAGAGAGTTAAGTGACTTGTCTACAAGTACTCAGCTGAAATCTGTGTTTCCTGACTTCTAGCCCAGTGCTATTTCCACTACACTAGTTTGAAATTCCTTTGTGCCAAGTCATGTAGTGTGAAAGATAAAAAACTATATACGTTCCTGTCCTTTGCAGTCCTTTCAGTCTACTTGGTAAGAGATTAAATGTGATAATTTGTGGACTGATTTATTAAATAATATGAGATAGTGCATGATTAATTCTCCAAGTATGTTGTGCAAATAAAATGCCTTTCAAGATCTGAGTATTTGTTTGTCTCTTTAGGCCATTGAAAGAATTACATTTCAATACCTTGTGATGTTAATGTAGCACAAATGTGCAGAAAATGATAATTAATTAATCAGGTTTTTACAGGTATTTACATGTATAATATGCTAGGCAATATTTAGGATTTTTAAATCAAAAAGATAAAACAAAGTAATACATAAGTAGGAATGTTTCCTAAACACTACTCTTCAGTTAGCTACCTTTATTCTCCAGTCTTTGAAATCTGCTCATGCCTATTTTTCAGTAGCAATGGTCATGAGTCGTGGTAGCAGCTGCTATCTACTGCATTCTGTGGAGTGCTCTGCATCCCTTGTTTTCACAAGAACCCTGTTAGTTGGGTACCAGTATTGACCCCATTTTACAGACAAAGTAACTGAGACTTAGTGAGTCAGAGTAACTTGGTCAGAATAAATAAGTAAAGAGCTAACCTATGCCAGAGCTGGGATGATTAGCTTGCCTTAAAATGATTTATATGATTAGGTTTTATTATAACTCCAAAATTTAAAAAAACATAAATTGCTCTGGTAATTACTAACCTGTAAAACCTATAGCTTAATTGATAAATTATAATATGGTTGTGTGAACTTTGCATAATAAACTTAAATTTTTTATATTAGAAATGTTATAAATAACAAAGACTCTTTGCACTTAATGTTACCCAAGATCATTTAAAATAAACTATATGGGAATGAGTATCACCATTCTTCAGTACCATTTAGCATACCTTTTATTTGATGGGTTTGTTTGCTGAGAGGAGGGGAAATAAATTTTATCTAGTTGGTAACTGTTTTAAGTAATTTTTCTAAGTTTGTCATTTAACGTATTAATGTTCTGCTTTGAAGCATATGCTCAGCTATAATTTTGTTGAACTTACTTGAAAATAAGATGTTGTATATATTTGTTTAGAGTGCTTCAATTATCCACACCCTTGAGGCTACTCCCTTCTGGCCGAGGTGGGGCTAAAGACTTAGCACACACAGGCAGACAGACAGACAGACACACACACAAAGCCTTTAGTTTAAGGAAAATCCATAGAGTGGTTTTTATCAAATGAAATTATTCAAAGAAGCTACATAAAAATTACAACAAAATCAGAGATTAAATCAATAAACTTTGATTTATTGATTTCAAAGGGTCGATTTTTTTCCTCCCAAAATACCTTCTTTCTAGCTATTAAAAAAAATCTGTTTAGCATCTGCTTGCTTTGCTTGTTCAATTTGATGGTTTAGCTTTGCCAATATTTATTTGGTAAAAATATTCTGGAAACTTTGAGAGATCATATTGCAAAATGCCAAGTTAGTAACCGATGATTCATGTTGAAAAATTAAGGCTGGACAATGAGGAGCAGGCATCTGAAGGTCAGTTATATGTAGGCATACAAGGCAGCTTCCTACCAAGGAATGGAGAACACATACCAGGATGGGGGTATTAGGGGCTGGGAGCTCTAGAAGATGAGAAAAATGAATCATGCTGGAGAATATGGAAGTTATTGCTGCTGATCAGTAATCAGAAATGTCTGAAAACTCAGTGATGTAATCTCTCCCTCCTCTTTACTGCCATGAACTCTGCGTCACTCACATGTAACTATAATATCATGTTCCCTATCTCTTCTACTCCTATAGTGTTCACTTCTTGAGCAACTTTGTCTCTTCTCTCATTGTATTCATTCTGTGGCTCCCAGACCCCCAACCTCTGCATCTAGTACAGATCCTCACAAGGCATAAATTTCCAAAATACATTGTTGAATTGAATTATAGGAAAATAACTATAAAATGATAATACTGTTTATTAATTGTGTTGGATGTTACACATCTCCTAAGTATCCCTTTAAACTAGTCATGATTTGTTCATTCTTCTTACAAATATTTATACAGTGTCTTCTATGTGCCAACTATTTTAGGAGCAAAAAGTCAAAAATTCCTGCCCTTTGAGCTTACATTCTAAATGTAAGGCACTAAATACAGTAACTAAGCAATATATATGGAATGTTAGATAGTAATAAGTGTAAATAAACAAAGCAGGGAAGGGGGCTAGGAAGTGGGGAGGAGGTTTTAAATGTTTAGACAGCACTCCCAAGGAAAGCCTCACTGGGATCTTTGAATAAAAGACCTGAAGGGAATCAGAAGTGAGCCAAGGGCATATCTAGGGAAAGAGTGAAGGCTCTGAGGAAGTCTGCCTCATGCCATTAGGACAGTGAGGAGACTGGTGCTGAAGCAGAGGGGTTGAGGTGCAGTATAACAGGTGAGGTCAGAGGTCAGAGAGATAATGGGGAGATTATGTGGAGCCTCATAAGTGGGTGACCAGGATGGCCCAAATTTATACCTAGATCACTTACTTAGAGGCTGTTAATTATTCTTAGCATCCCCTTTCACTCTCAGAATGGTCCCAATTTGGACCATAAGTTATAAAGTCACTGGTTTTTATTCTGAATGATATTGGAAGCCATTGGAGGTTTTAAGCAGAGGGGCAATATGATCAATTTATTTTTAATAAGATTGTTCTGGTTTGTGTGTTAAGGAAAGACCAAAGCAGGAAGCAGGGAGACCAGCTAGAATGCTCTTACAATAATTCAGGCTAGATCTGATGTTTCATGGACAAAAGGTAGCAGTGGAAATGGTGAAAAGTGGTTGGGTTCTGGGTCAATTTTATGGATGGAGCCAACAGTGTTTGCTGACAGGTTGAATGCAGGGTGTGAGAAAAAGGAAGAAGTAAGGATGTTTTTAGCCTGAGCACCTGGAGGAATGGGATAGCCAATTACTGAGATGGAGAAGACTCTAGGGGAGCAGATTTGGAGGAATGCCAGGAGCTCATATTTGGACATGTTAGGTATGAGTTGCCTGTGAGACGTCCAGGTGGAAATACTGAGTAGGCAGTTGGATCTGTGAGTTTAAAGTTCAGAGGAGGGGTCTGAACTAAATAATATAAATTTGGGAGTAATCAGTGTAGAGATGATATTTAAAGCCATGAAACTGGATGAGATCATCAAGGGAGTGGGTGTGGATGGAAAAGAGGAAAGTCCAAGAACTGAACCCAGGGGAGGATCAAAGTTACTCCATCGAAGCTGCCATTACCAAAAACACTTTTGCAACTGCCAAGGCTTATTTGAAAACCAGTCTTACCAATCTGTTGGTCCAGTGGTTGTTTAATTAAGCAACAGCATGAATTCGAGTAACATTGAGTTGCCAAAATCAAAACACTGGGTACAAGTTTTAAAATGACAAGTAAGAGGAAAGGCATGAGACAATTTTAGGTTTTCAAAAGATGAACCAAAACAAATAGGGAGAAGGGAAAGCACTGGTCAGATAAAGAATGATGACAGAAAAGGGAGAAGAAACAGTATTGAAGGAGAAAGATACCTTTGAAAATATGCTGAAAGAGAAATGTTGATTTTAGGGGCTTTCAGATTATAAGCGGTTCACATTCCATTTTATCTTGATTCATCCAACTTTTAATCCTTTTTGACTCAAAATTTCAGCTATAGGAGCAGTTTTTTGGAGTGATTTTTAAAAGTCATTTTTTGGAATGCCTGTGAGCTATCACAGTATTGGAAATGAAATTAAAATACAGCATCGTACACATATTTTCTGCTTAGTGTATTGTGATACTTGATTTGCAGAATGTGATGAAGAACATCTACCTTAGACAAGGGTGCTGTGCAATTAATTCCACTTAAGTAAAAGTATTTATGTTTTCACAATCTCAAAAAAATTAATGTTTTACCTAATGTTTACTGTATTAATGTTTAATTATTCTATTAAGGAGAAGAGAAAACCATTTTTTAGAGATCACAGTAGAATGTGCCAGTTTCTATGTTTGGCATTTTGCATACATCTCACTTTATCTCTAAGAAACAAACTCTTCCTGGATGGTTTGTCTTGTTAACAAACAAACAAAAACAAAACACCAACCTTCTTTTCATGTGATATTTCACTTCTCTTCCTATCCTTCCTGCAACTGATTGAGGAGCAGGAGTCTTCCCAGGCGTCAGCTATGTTTGCTGATGTTACTTTACACTCCATAATCACTATTCCTAAAACAAAACATAAAAATTATGAAAAACATTCGGATACTTTCTGCATGACATCATTTTTACTACGACTATATCTTTTCGTGGCTACTGAAAAAGGCTTCAATGTTTTGAAATTGAGGAGAGAAAATGTAATCACTCTCTTATACTGCAATCTCCATTAAGAATTTGTTTCTTTTTATTTTATTTCAACCTGACCTTTCTGAGGTCTTCAAAGTTTTCCATCAGTTCCTCCAGTAATTGATGCCTACATTTCTCTTGTATCCTATGTCTCAATGAATAGTCATTTAACCCCACCCCCACCTCCCAATAAAAGGAAAAGGGCAATGGAGGTCCTGTCAAACCAGTGCTCTATCAGAAGAACTAGGGACCTCACTCTCCAACAACCCACGTTTCCTATCCCAACAAAGGGGTTGGACACTACACTCATCCTGTTACAACAATAGCTCCCTCTCTGATGATTATCGAAGTTCAGAAGAGCATAAGCCCACTGGGGGATCCTTTCTAGGGGATGGGGTGTAGTGAAGATGTGTAGTTTGCAAAAAACAAAAAAACAGGTAATTGTCAACTCCTGCTCCCCAAATCCCTAGCTCCCTTCCTTCCCACACACTCTATCAATTCCTATTTGTTACTTCTGGCCATTTTTTTCTACTTTTCATTTCTTTCCTCCAATAATCTAGTTATGTCTTATTAGAACACTTCTTTTATCTCTTCTCTGGCCCCCAAATACCTATTTGTCTGCAAAAATGGATATAATACTTCGCCTGCTCCCAGGATTTTCTCTCTGGACTCTTCTCTTAGTTCTCTCAACTCCATTGCCCCCTTGTCTTTCCATCACATCCCGATTCTAGTCCTTCTGTTTGCCTTCTTTCTCCTTCAGCTAAACAGATGAAGTCTCATGGGAAAAAATAATAACACAATTGTGCTGAGAGATGCCTCTACAAATTTATGTTTTCCACCCTGAAGTTCGCCCTCAAACACCCCTGGAAAAATTCTTTTTTCCTCAACTCTCTTTCATTCCTGTAGTGACTGTTTCAAAAGTGTATTCTCCTCTCCCTAAAACCCCTCCACTCACCCCTTGCTTGCTCTCAGCCAAAGAGCTTGCCAGTTACCTCACTGAGAAAATAAAAACCTGAATGAATGGCATCACTGCCTAATCCAGAAAGGCCCGTCACGGCAAAAACTGAGATCCATTCTCAATTCCTTTCTCTCCTTCAGCCAGCCTCAGTCATTCACCACGGCTTGTCCCATTCTGATACTGGAGTCTCTCTTGAGTACATATGCTCTTCTCCATCCCTATGGCTACAAATGGTGGTGCAAAACACCATTATTTTTCATTTCTATGCATTATTGCAATATTCTCCTGAAGGTTCTCTCTAGTCTGTTTTGCTTGCTGCCCAATCTATTCTCTATACCATACTCTGACAGATCTTTATAAAATTCAGAATGTCACTTCTCTGCTTAAAACCCTTCAGTGACTCTCCAGTTTCCTCATAACATAGTCCACATTCTTTCATGTGGCAGGCTAGGCCCTTTCTGATTGCCGGCTGCCCCAACTCTCATGACTGCCTCTTACACCCCAGCCTCCAGCCATACCTATTGAACTACGTGTATTACCTCAAGGTGCCAGGCTCTTTCTCATCCTCTGACCTTTGCATACAAGCTTCCTTCTCCTGAGACACTCCTTCTCCTGAGACACTCCTCTCCTACCTCCTGTCCCCTTAGCTAAGTTGTCACTCAAATATTTTTTGGTTGGATGGATGAAAGGATAGATAATTTCTACTCATCCTTAAGGACTCTTCTTAAACTTCACCTCTTCCTAAAATTCTGGGTTAGGTGCACTATGTATGTGCATCACACATTGTGTACTCTTAGCTTGTGTTCACCTCTATCATGGCATCATTCACATTGTCTCACAAGCTCGTTAAGATGGTCCATGACCACACTTGAAGAAACACTACCCAGCATCTAACATATTCCCTAACCTATTACATAGCTATTTATCAAATAAATGAACTCTGAGGCATTACTATTGTTAATATTATCAATAGTAACTATTTATTGCTCTTTGCTGTTTGAAACATTTTTATGCAAAGCACTTGGTGTGCAGACACACTAAACAGTCTGTTTGACATTGCTAAATGTTAAGTTAGCCATTTAGGATGACAGATCCTAAGGCAGATAGTTGATAGTACAATTTCTCAACAAGAACAATGTTATATCTTACATCCCTTTGCAAACTAAAACCACAGGCTCTAAGTCTGCTAAGGCCTGGCACAAAAAATTCCAGTGTAGATGGAAAGGTTCAATAAATCAACACCTCTTGGAAAACAGTGGAAGGTGCATGTAAAGGTATCTTGGGGGATTTTGTTTAGTTTTTCATCATTATCATTGAAAAGGACCTGACAGAGGACCTTAGGCTTCTGCTCCTGCAGTGCTTCCAGCTGGGCTTCTCACAATGCTGTGTCAGGAGCAAGAGTGGTTGTTTTGTGATT